ATAAGTGTATTTCTTTGGGTTTATCAATAATGAAGTAAATTGAAATCATCCTGGTACAGCTAATCTCAGATGAATAAACTTTGTAGTAGACAGGAAACTTGCAGGATGAACATGCAAGCTCACAACATTACTTTGCCAACGCAGTTATTGTGACGGGGGGATATAGCCATCAGGATGTCCGTCTGTCCGTCCGTCCTTCCGTCTGTCCGTCCGTGATCATTGTTTGTCTGGAGCATATTTCCTAAACCATACAACCTAGCTTCAGAAAACTTGGTACACTTACCAATCAGGCTCAGTAGTAGTGCCTTTTGCTATTTAGAGATTTTTAGAATTTTTTATTTTTGTCGTTTCCATGGAAATATGATGAACTTAGGAAATTTGAGGGTAGTGCTCTTGTCCGAACCATATTTCCTAAACCGTTCAACCTAGCTTCCCAAAACTTGGTACACTTAACAATCAGGCTCAGTAGAAGTGCCTTTTGCTTTAGAGATTTTTAGAATTTTATATTTTTGTCGTTTTGTTGTTTTCATGAAAATATGATGAACTTATGAAATTTGAGGGTAGTGCTCTTGTCCGGACCATATCTCCCGAACCATACAACCTAGCTTCTCAAAAGTTTTTACACCTATCAAGCAGGTTATGTAGTGGTGCCTTTGCTATTAACATATCTACACCTATCTGCCAGATGGAGGCTTCCAGACAGGCACACTGGACAGATCACAAGATCACCTGGATAGCCATTCATAAATGATGGTAGGGTTACATAAATACTATTGTCTTATACATGCAATAACATTTTTTTCTGAGGTGAACTATTTACCGATATCATATACTATATATGATGTGAGCTACATAACCTAGTACATTCTCTTTATGCCTTTGTGTCATGAGGCTACTACAGAGCTATTCATATGCGAATCTGCGAAGTTATTGTTATTACAATTTCATGAGATCATCAGAAAGTGAGCTACATGAACCAATATTTAATAATTTTCATTATATTTCTGGTTTTGGCATCAAGGAAAAAGATTTCCTTGCCAATCTAAATACATTTGAAGGTACACACAGTTTACCGACATGCCATGTTGGGGGGATATGTCATCTTTGGATGACTCTTGTTTTTATTTATGTTGCTTTTCTGATCACCAAAAAAGTGAAATCAGCTCAGTCAAGGATATCCTGTAAAATATTCTATGACATCATGTAGACAAGAAACGATTTTATCAGACCTCCATGTCAGAATGATGAGATCTAATTGGTTCACATGATCTTGATAAAATACTATGCATCCCGCCTTGGAGGGAAACAAATTTCTCAGGAGGAGAATAAATCTCTTATACCCAGCCACGAAGTCAGGCTGCACATGGACTTCTGAGAGGCAGAATAAATCCCTATACATGCTTTTTTCAAATAAATGAACGTCACCAGATATGATGTCAAGTTGCTGGGAGATGTTATGGTGGTTATGCAAACAATGAAAATAGGCAGAGAACCAGCCAATCAATGTTTAGCTAAAGTATTATTCTCAATGAGATTTATGCGGGCTGATTGATAGGTTCTTAGCCTTGATATTCCTCAAGTTTGTCCATGTACAAAGTTCACAGACTCCTGCTATTTTTACTGACTTCTATGACGTCATCATGTAATGTCCACGACAATAGATTTCACTCTTATGCAATTCCTTCTATGTGGTGCTTAGCACTTATCAATCAACCCTCATACCAAAAATAGTTCCTGTGATGATTAAGTGAAATTAACTTTTATCTACACGTGTCCGCAACAATGATCTGCAACAATGAGTAGCCATCTTCCTAATGGTAAAGGTGGTAGAACATGAAGAAATGTCACGAGACCTCCTTGAGATTTACTAGTGTCAGCCTAGCAGTCTCAAACCCTGCAAATATTCGTGCCTCTTTACTCAACGCTCCTGTAGGTCATATCGTTCATGCCAGAGAAATGTTTTCACTCTCACCAGCCGCTTATTGGCTTACTTTTTCCCTCCAAAACTGATCAACAACTGTTCATCATATCCCTCCAATACTCATCGACCCGTGAATATCAGAGGTAGAATAGGTCTTCAGCAACCCATGCTTGCCGTAAATGGCGACTATGCTTGTCGTAAGAGGTGACTTGGTTGATGCATGTCATCGTATCCCAATTGCGTGGATCGATGCTTATGATGTCAATGACTGGATTGTCTGGTCAAGGCTCGATTATTTACAGACTACCGTCATATACCGGTAGCTGGAATATTGCTGAGTGCGGCGTTAAACAAAAAACCAAACAATACTTATCAACAACTGTTCATATTTTACCCCCAATACTGATCAACAACTGTTCATATTTTCCCTCCAATATTCATGAACAACTGTTCTTATTTTCCCTCCAATATCCGATCAACAACTGTTCATATTTTCCCTCCAATACTGATCAACAACTGTTCATATTTTCCCTCCAATATTGATAAATATCTGTTCATATTTTCCCTCTAATACTGATCAACAACTGTTCATATTTTCCCTCCAATATTGATGAATAACTTCATATTTCCCTTTAATAATGATCAACAACTGTTTATATTTTCCCTCCAATATTGATGAATAACTGTTCATGTTTTCCGTCCAATACTGATCAACAACTGTTCATATTTTCCCTCCAATACTGATCAATAACTGTTCATATTTTCCATCCAATACTGATCAACAACTGTTCATATTTTCCCTCCAATATTGATGAATAACTGTTCATATTTTCCCTCCAATACTGATCAACAACTGTTCATATTTTCCCTCCAATACTGATCAATAACTGTTAATATTTTCCCTCCAATACTGATCAACAATTGTTCTTATTTTCCCTCCAATACTGATCAATAACTGTTCATATTTTCCCTCCAATACTGATCAACAACTGTAAATATTTTCCCTCCAATATTGATGAATAACTGTTCATATTTTCCCTCTAATACTGATCAACAACTGTTCATATTTTCCCTCCAATATCTGATCAGTACCTGTTCATACTTTCCCTCCAATATCGTAACTCCATGAAATATGTGTAATAAACTTTTTGCAACCCTAAAAGGACCTGCCCTTGTCCCATAGTTGTGGAGAAGTGTGAGATGAACTTTCTGCAACTTTAACATCCCCATGGGCTGGCCAGAGGACATCAGAGTTGCTTCCCTTAAACATGGCCGAAACCTATGATCGTGAGTTCAAATCCAGATTTGCCCTGATTATGTTTCTAGGTTTCTCAGCACTATGGGTTTCACCAAATGCTGAACATCTAAGACTTGCAACACTGTGGCCTTCCTCCGACACACTGACATGCCATTCGAATTCCCTTGCCAAATATGTGGTTAACGTTTGATATTAAATTCTCTCCGAATCCAAGTTTTGGCTGGATATATGCAGACTTTAGCATATTGCCGTGGTTGAATTTATTTTCAATATTTTGTTGTGAACACATTGTCAGTCTTTAGGTTTTGAACATGACCTGTTAGTGTGCCCTGGTGTAAAGAATGGCGTAATTAAAAATACATTTTTTTCATAAATAACAGTTATTTCAATCTATATCTTGGTGATAAATAAACCTCACTCACTCACTCACTCACTCACTCACTCACTGGACAAAGATTTTTCTTCCTCTTGAAATCCACATGAAAGTACTGTCAATCAAGAAGACAAAATAACGAGAGTAATATCTGTATTAAACACCCCAAATTTCAGACAGTACATCATATTCACAGTGTTATTTATACCATTGCCAGTATAATAATTGTGAAAGATGTGATGGCCTTCAGCTCCCTTGGTTTTTCTGAAAACGAACTCTCTAAACTGGAAATTATATATGGTATCTTGGTATACAGATTTAATATGTTATCATGTACTGACAGCAAAATTTCTTTTGAAAAATTGTTTACTATGTACATTGGCTGTAACTGAATAACAAACTGTCTGTTTGACTGGCAAACATATTATTCTGCTAACCATTATAATTTTCCTTATGCTAATACCTGATGATTACACTGATTGCAGCTATTCTCTGTATTTTGCTTGAATATCTCTACAGATATTTGGGTTAAAGTCGTGATAGTGGTACAGCAGTTTGAGTCACACACAGCAGAGTTGTGCTTTTTGTCATGCCAGGATCCACAAATTGTAGTTTGGATTTTTTCTTGATAATGATTTTTGGTCAATCAACACAGTACCTGTTTACCAAATTGCAAAAATCTATCACCTGTGTCATTTTTGGCTTTCCTCCTACCTTAAGCTGACATGCTGAAATATTCAAAGCAGCATTAAAGTTGAATTCACTTACCCTCTCTTTGTGAAGCATTTATGAAAAGGAACTAAACAGGTGGCACAAATAACAAGAGAGTGCTAAAAGTTGTGCAATACTACATCCAGAACTATTTTCTTTGCAACTGTTTCTATTGTAGAATGATAAGAATCGTGCCGAGATCCGACAACTGGCTTTGGAGAAGAATGTTGATGAGTTAAAGACACGCCTGCTTCAGAGGATGGAGTTTGGCACAGCAGGTTGGTAAAATCGTCAGAGTGCAGATCTATGCGAGTAGTTACATCTGAAACCGTTATAGAGTAGATGTAGAAGTGTGTGAACACCATCCACTGAAGAAGAGCTGGAGTCTTGGAATCCAATTTAAAAACTCTTGTGTCATATCAGTATACACAGCTAGTGTAAATAAAAATGAAATACAAAAATTCTAATACAATTTTATTTTGGAAAACAATTTGTGTTTGTTAGCTTGATAAACAGTCAATTAATTGTTATTTTTGTTGAAAACATGTCTTCAAATGATTTAGTTATACTTTTTTTTATACATCATGTTTTATACATGAACCCAATTTCACAAACCTCTGATTTGGGACACAGTTTCATATATATCATGAGAAACACTGGGAAATTTGAGGAATATGATTTTTAATCCTGTGCTGTGATGACTGTGTGTCTTCTGTGGCTCAGGTCTTCGGGCAAGGATGGGAGCTGGCTACTCCATGATGAATGACCTCACGATCATGCAAGCAACACAGGTAAGTCTTGTCAAACAAACACTGCATCCAAGAAACAACTTGAATTATGTCTACCAGTAGTATTGCTCAAATGTCACTTTCTATTCAACTTGACCAGTTGTTGACATCAACAGGAGCTTATGTCATGTGGGTTTTCACTTTCTGTCTATTTTCACTGCACTTGTCAACTTGTATCATGTTGTTCTCCAAACATCCTGACCCCCATTCCACAAAGCTATCTTAGTGCCAAGATAACAAATTCCCATACTTTAACATAGACTGAAGACAACTGTAGTGCTAAAATCACTTTGTGGAATGGGTCCCTGGACTTATCAATAGTGAATTTTGACATCATATTAATATTTCATAATGTACATGTCCCTGGCTACATCAAAATAAGATTTTGATTGTCACAAATTCAAAATGGCCACTTCACTACCAAATATTATTTCAAATACAGACTTCAGGTACTTCACTGATTGTCTGTAACTAATGGGCATATTGTTTTGTAATTACTGGATGAAGTTAATGAAATTCTTATTCATGGTGAATTAAAATTGTCAATTACAAAATTTGTAATTCAAACTTCAATGTCATAATTTGTTTAATCATCTTGATCAGGGTCTGGTGAAGTACCTTATAGCGACGGTTCCGAATGTCAAGAAGAACGGTGTTGTGGTGGGATACGATGCCAGACACAACAGCCAGAAGTAAGTAAAGACAACTCTAAATATATCACTGATACCTTAACAATCCACTGTAGACAAGGTTGAGGCCAGGGTTCCCTTGTTTGGTGCTTTAGTCCCAGATTTGCATGATAATGATTTGTTTGGTTGGAATGTTTGATTAGCGTAGCAGAAGTTCTGTAAAGTGTTTCTTGTAAATTCATAGCTGTGGCTATCAAGATCAATAGTGCGGTAATCTAAAGCTATATTCTTAATTTTGTCAACACAGTTCATTGTCAATCACAGTGTCTGTTCCCAAATCTGAAGTTAAAACTTTTTGTTCTAGTCTCCACTCGGAACTGCCTGTTTTCATTTGTTTTTGAGATATAGAAATCAGATGTTAAGCTCTGAATGCCCATGCTCACTCCGATCGTGAATTTAGAAGCCTCCACTCAGATTGGCTGATTAGAAAGTTCACCTGACATGATAACCTATTGAGAGTTTATCTCATCTCCACATGGTGACTGGTAAAAGCACTGCCACAACATTCACTCAGCTCGTTCCTGAAACAACCGTCATGTGATCACCAACTGAATTATTGCTAGCTTGATGTAAATCCCAATTCACTCACTCTTCGTTGTTTAGATGGAGTGAGCTGGTAGCAACCATATGTATCAACGAAGGTGTGCCAGTCTACAAGTACTCTAAGATCTGTCCTACACCATATGTGGTGAGTCTCCTGTGATCATGTACCTATAGCAGTACATTTACCCACCCCTGTCATGATCTTATGGTGGAGATTCAGGCACTATTAGTATACAGAAGAAAGCCCCAAATTTCAAGTTCTCTGTGGTCCCTAAAAATTGAAATTCACTCTCTTAGTCGATTTCTATCGTGTTTTCTGCCAACATGCATTACCATACATACTTTGATTATTTTAGTAACAGCAACTATGCTTTTTGTTATAAACCTATTTTACATATAATTATTTAAAATATGCCTACCAATAATGACTGATAAAGAAGTACTTTTCCATGAATATTAGCTTCAGTGATTGTCAAATTGCCTGTTTCAATCAGAGGAGGTTATTGTTATTTGAGGACTCTGATTGACCACGCAGAATTGAGTAATTTCCACATTCATGGTGGAAGAAGTCATGGTTACTCTTGCTGGCTTGAGTCGCGATGTCCATCATAAATGTGGTGAACCTTTGCACACATCCTGGTATTAACATGATTAATGACGACTTGCTAACTGCCTATTCTGTTCCTATACTTCAAGCCGTATGCTGTGGTGCACTATGGAGCTTCATGTGGGATCATGATCACTGCCTCTCACAACCCAAAGGAAGACAATGGCTATAAAATATACTGGACAAATGGAGCTCAGGTAGCTGACTTCGTTATAAGAATTAATTTTCACATTGTGTGGGATCATTGGTGTACGAACCTTCATACAGTTGGTAAAGATCTGACTTCATACACTTTGGCCATCACTCTATGAAGTTTCATACTCCAATGAACTCGCACAAAGTGAATGTTTTTCATATCCCAATGCTGTACCTTGAAATACAGGACACAGACAATATTTACAGGTAACAGACACGTTTTACAGGTAACAGACATCGTTTACAGGTAACAGACTGGGTTTACAGGTAACATTCCAGATTAACAGGCTCTAGTTAAACAGTTTGCTTATCATGCTAAAGATTCAATTTCTGACATGGGTAAATGTCATGACATCTGTGAAGTTCATACTTTGAGGCCCCCTTCAGTAAATGGCTGGAACATTAATGTGTTGATACTCCATGCTTAGCTCGCATCCATCAACTTGTATTTAGTTCAACCTATGAATGGTAATCTGTTTGTCGAAAATACACAATAAGAAACAAAAACCATTTGTGAAGTAGGCTTAAGGAAGAAGACACAGCTGGGAATCTAAAATATTGTTTCACTCAGGCCAGACAATCAGTTTAATTGTTGTCTTCATCATGTTCTTTAACATAAGGGGGCACATGTGGCCGGCAATTAGCATCCATTTGTCATGCCAAAACCTATGATTGTGGGTTCAAATCCCTGATTCAGCCTGATTGCGTTTCTAGGTTCATCTGCACCATACCCTTGCTCATGGGTTTCACCAAATATGTTAACGTCTTAGACCTGTATCACTTGGGCCTTGATATAATGATATGCTTGAAACACTGTTCAAAGCAGCATCATATCCAAACCACTCACTCTTGAATATAAATTTCTTATAGATCATTCCTCCGATCGACAAAGGTATTGCGACGTCCATCAGAGAACATCTTGAGCCTTTCCCCACGACCTGGAATACATCCTGTGTCGCTGACAGCAAGCTGTTGAGGGATCCCTACGATAAGATATTTGATCTGTACAACAAAGATCTCCATCATCTCTGTCACTTCAGGTATCTTGTGTCAGGCACTGGGGGAGTCCTGGGCAGAGTACGTCACCAGTACACAATCTTACTGTAAGAGCTGACAAATGAGTTGGGTGGTCACAATGTGTTTTATTTGATGGTTCCGTCATTGTGACAATATGTATCATTGCAAATGCTATCACTAACCAGTTCAGCTCATCCAGATTGAAGGCTTCCCTCATGACGTCCACATCATACCAAAAGACATTAAAAGACGATACTTGTTAAACGTTAAACCCAATTTCACCTCACCTTAAATTGAATATCATCTGTGCAGAGATCAGAATCTGTCCTCCAAAGTGACCTTCACCTATACTGCCATGCATGGTGTGGGGTACAAGTTCACGTGCGAGTTTTTGCAGAGGTTCGGCTTTCCTCTTCCTGTACCAGTCAAAGAACAGGTCAGGGAAAGAAGTAACAAATACATTGTATATATAAATGCAGGATATCAGTGTGGTGTTTCCTTTCTCGTTGTTTGTTATATTTAGTATTTGGACATCTTGATGACTATTGATGATTTTGTAGTTGTGATGTTATCAATATAAAGTAGATATTACAATGTTTTGATATGATAGCATGTCTTGTTTGTTATTGTTGTGAGAGACATATTTGGACCAATGTGCTTGTGTTCCTGTAGGTGGTGCCAGATCCTGAGTTCCCCACAGTGAAATACCCCAACCCAGAGGAGGGCAAGGGAGCACTGGTCAGTACTGGGAGTTTTCTGAGAGTTTATTTTCACATTAAATGCATGACCTTTAGGGCTGGGAGGGGCAACTCAGGTGCTGGTACTCGGGCCAGGTGGGTCCTGAATGTTTGCATTTCTTTCTGACTATGCTCGTTTCCTTCTGTCTGTTATATGTTTGAGTGAAAATAAAATTTCTGACAACTACATTGTATGCATGATCAGATTGTTTTATGCGTGTATCTAAGTAGTTTTTGCCAAGGCTCCGGTAAAACAATTCTCAGGCGGACATTTAGTACCCAGCTTGAGACCTACAGCAGGTACCCAGGTAGGGCCAGGTAATAGGGGATTGGGTACCTGGGTAATAATTTTTGACTTGCCCCATCCTTAATGACCTTGCATGCTCATAACATAAAGGCTAAATATATTTTGATTTGTCACTCTTTGCAAGAAAATAAGGCGTAAAAACATTTCCACATTTCAGGCATCCAGCATACTGCACTGCATCATCCAGCAAATCACAAGGAGGTTGACACCCTATTTTATATCATCTTCCCGAGGCAAGGGAGTTAACTGATTATAAAAGTCTAGTTTTCCCCCTTATTGAACTAGGCTGGTATTATTGAGTTACATTTTGGCTGGAGTAACGAGTCTGTGCATAGTCCAAACAAAATCGCATAACGAAATCGATGAAATTTGATTGGTCAGTAGGAGGGACATAGAAGGGATGTAACTCGTAATAGTAACTTGTGGCGTTATGATTGAGCCATAGAATTCCAGCCTAGTTCAGCAAGGGAGGAAACTGGATTTTAATAGTCAGTTAACTCCCTTGACTCGGAAAGATGATTATATGCACCCACAGATGTCCAGCAAATTTTAACCATAGGGGATTGAACAAGTGTTCGAACCTTCCAATATTTGCACATGCATTTTAATGATGCTCGATGCTGATTGGGCAGTTGGAGAGATATGACATCACATTGCTCCATTGTTCAGAACAATTCGTTATGAAGTCATCTCTTGTCATCAAAACAAATGTTTTGCAATTTCTGTGTTTCTATGTAAATAGGGCAATGAAGATCAAAACAGGCAGAAAAATGTCCTCGCTAGCATTTGTATGGTTTGATATGCTTAAACCTCAACATATTTATCAAAAAAGTTCATAAACATCGACAACAGGACATCAACATTGAAATATTAGTGACTTTCATCAGGGTTACATTTCAACATTTTTGAACTAAACAAAATAACATTACCCTCAAAGACAGGTTTATCATGTTCATAGATATTTAGCAATTATATTCACCATTCAGTCATTGTTCGGGTTAATGCTTCACAGCTTTGTTTCCCTATGTTACTCCATCAACCATGAATACATATGGCCAACATGAGGTGTAGTAATGACGCATGTCTATTTTCCATGACTTTTTGTACGATGTAAGTTCACTCGCTGGCTTCCCACCACACTCTGGAATCAGGCCTGGCTTGATTCGTTGGTCAAAAATAAAGTCTGTATATATTCACAGGCGATTGCGGAACAAGTGTATACAAACCCGTGAAGTATCAATGATGGTAAACCATTTTCTGTGGTATTACGATGTGTTCCCTTATTTTTATGCATCAGTATACATGGCAGCGGTCGAAATTCATGCAAGTCTGCTCTACCAAAGCAAATATATTGTACTGAGGAGAAGTAAAAATCCAATTATGGTAGTCCTTTTGACTATAATTCTAAATAGCTTCAATTTTAGCCACAAATTGGAACTGAATAAAATTGACAGAAAATGTAAACATAGTAAACATTATTGTGTCGTTCGAGCAGGACTAGCTACAAACTCTGAGGACAAATGAAACAAAGTTTCCACTTGTCTTCTGGTTAAGTCTTAAAAAAATGAATTTCTAAGTCTGCAGTATTCTTTCACAAACAAACTCTGCTGTTTCAGAAATTGTCAATGCAGACGGCAGATGCTAATGGAAGCGTGGTAATCCTGGCCAATGACCCTGACGCAGACAGACTGGCAGTAGCTGAGAAACAGCCGAGGTTAGTGCTACCAAACGTCCTTGAATTACATTGAGGTGTAATATAACCGGAATACTGTTGACTGCAGTGTTTTGAACAGATTTCACTCACTTATTGATGTGTTGGTCTCTGTGGTATAACTGGAATACTGCTGACTGTGGTGTTATAGATAATATTCATTCACTCACTGACTCGCTCTTTGATGTGTCAAAGGTCATGACATAAACAGTCTACTCTTTATCATCTTTATTATGTCGAGAAAATTCATTAAATATATAGACGTGCTCAATTCTGTTAATTGAATAGAGAGTTATTAAAATAATTATCTTCTATGAGGTACTGGTCATTTATTATAGCGGTAGGTCGGGCGACCGTTTCATATTTGACCGGTCCCTCCCATCTATGACATTTTTTTGTGACACCCCCTCCCTATAATAAATTACCAGTCCCAAAATGATGTTCAAATTTAGGAAAAATTTATTTGTGTTTCAGTGGTGAGTGGAGGATCTTCACTGGGAATGAGATTGGGGCCCTGTTGGGGTGGTGGAGTCTCTTCACCTTCAGAAAAAGTCGCCCAGATGTCAAAGGTAAGTCCGTGACTTCTGAGAGATGATGTTATGTTTATCGCAGAAATAATCCCCACAATAATGCTACTGGTATTGAACAAAGACAACTGCATGTTTAAGTACAATGCTTCCAAACGCACTAATTTTCTTTGTGAAAGGATGAGCCAATCAATAACAATTTCACTTCTCATTCTTTTAAAATGATTCAACAGACTCATCGGGAATGGTTTTATATATGAGTGATTTATCTTTTCAGACAGTGATATTTGTATGGTGGCCAGCACAGTTTCCTCCAAGATCCTGCAGACCATTGCCAAGAAGGAAGGGTGTATCTTTGATGTAGGTTAACTCACTTTCTCACTGATATAGGTTAACTCACACTCGTACTGATATAGGTTAACTCGCTCTCTCACTGATAAAGGTTTAACTCACTCTCTCTCTAGGTAACTCACTGATAAGGTTCAAATTCACTCACCCACTCACCCAACTTACTTCATATAAGTCACATGATATCACAGTGGGATATCCTTGTGGTTAAAGACTCTCTTTCGCTCTCACGCTCTCTCTCAAATTAATTGTAGTTGATTACTATGTCTGCAGGAGACTTCGACGGGCTTCAAGTGGATTGCTAACAAGGCTTGTGATAGACAGAATGATGGGAAACATGTCATCTTTGCATTTGAAGAGGCCATTGGTAGGTCACACTTGATAACATCCCTTGTTTTTTGTTCATGTGTGTTTGTTGAACAGGGTTTATATGTCTGTTGTACAGGGTTCATGTATGTGTGTTGTACAGGGTTCATGTGTGTGTCTGTTGTACAGGGTTCATGTGTGTGTGTTGTACAGGGTTCATGTGTGTGTGTTGTACAGGGTTCATGTGTTTGTTGTACAGGGTTCATGTGTGTGTGTGTTGTACAGGGTTCATGTGTGTGTGTTGTTCAGGGTTCATGTATGTGTGTTGTACAGGGTTCGTGTGTGTGTGTTGTACAGGGTTCATGTATGTGTGTGTGTGTGTGTGTGTGTGTGTGGGTGTTGTACAGGGTTCATGTGTGTGTGTAGTTCAGGGTTCATGTATGTGTGTTGTACAGGGTTCATGTGTGTGTGTTGTACAGGGTTCATGTGTGTGTGTTGTACAGGGTTCATGTGTATGTGTTGTACAGGGTTGGTGTGTGTGTGTTGTACAGGGTTCATGTGTGTGTGTTGTACAGGGTTCATGTGTGTGTGTTGTACAGGGTTCATGTGTGTGTGTAGTTCAGGGTTCATGTATGTGTGTTGTACAGGGTTCATGTGTGTGTGTTGTACAGGGTTCATGTATGTGTGTTGTACAGGGTTGGTGTGTGTGTGTTGTACAGGATTCATGTGTGTGTGTTGTACAGGGTTCATGTGTGTGTGTTGTACAGGGTTCATGTGTGTGTGTAGTTCAGGGTTCATGTATGTGTGTTGTACAGGGTTCATGTGTGTGTGTTGTACAGGGTTCATGTATGTGTGTTGTACAGGGTTCATGTGTGTGTTGTACAGGGTTCATGTGTGTGTTGTACAGGGTTCATGTGTGTGTTGTACAGGGTTCATGTGTGTGTGTTGTACAGGGTTCATGTGTGTGTGTTGTACAGGGTTCATGTGTGTGTGTGTGTGTGTGTGTTGTACAGGGTTCATGTGTGTGTGTGTGTGTGTGTTGTACAGGGTTCATGTGTGTGTGTGTGTGTGTTGTACAGGGTTCATGTGTGTGTGTTGTACAGGGTTCATGTGTGTGTGTGTGTGTGTTGTACAGGGTTCATGTGCGGCACCAAGGTTCTGGACAAAGATGGAGTGAGTGCAGCAGCAGTGATGGCAGAGATGGCAACATTCCTGTACAACGGCAACTCAACTCTGGCTAAACAGCTGGAAGAGATATTCAACAAGTAGGTTATAGATGTTGTATGGAGATAAATATTGATAGTATGTGCTCGTTAGTTGTCCAATCAAAGTGCCCAGATTTAATCACCTCCTGTTTGTTGGCATTCTTTAACAAATTTCTCATGATGGTTGGAATAGTGTAATTATATGTCATTATTTGTAATTATACTCCAAAGATTTACCCTGCCTCTGATGTTTGTGTTTCAGATACGGTTATCACTTGTCACGAAACTCCTACTTCCGGTGTGATGACCCAGCCATTACTGCCAAGATGTTTCAGAATCTCCGTAACTTCGATGGTCCAGGAAAGGTAACTCTTCCCTCCTCAAAGTGGGTTCATAGGAAGAATAACATGTGATCTTTGCACATGCTTTCAACTGCCCAAACATCAGTGTGAAAATAACTCTGCAAGATAATGACCATATTTGGAGATTCTCTGAAATTTCAAACAGTCATAATGGCAACTATTTACATGGTGTTGGATCTAACACATCATAAAAGAAAAATCTGTGTTTTACCAATGATAGGGGAATTCTCAAACCTTTCTTTCAAAGCAAAATATTTTCTGTGCTTATATTCATAATTTCCATGCTATACTGTTGGAGAGCCACATTTGTGTCACAGTTACATATTCAAGTTGTTTGGAATACCATTTAATTCAAACTTTTTGTTTCAGTATCCATCAAGTTGTGGCCCTTACAAGATCAAATATGTTCGAGATCTGACAGGCAAAGGCTACGACAACAGCCAGCCAGATAATGTTCCAGTGAGTTGAACTCAGAAATATGACAGGAAGTTCTTGTTCTTGTAAGACCTACTCAAGGCATGCTTCCCAAGTGAGTGAGTGAGTGAGTTTGGTTTGACACCACTTTCTGTTACCCAGAACAATAATCAGGGCAAATATGGGATGTGAACCCACAATCATAGGTTTGAGTACAGCAACTTGTGCAGCATTAGCTACCACTCATGTCGACCCCTCTCCACATCCTCTCGATGAGAGAAGGGGGAACAGGTCATGTGGTCCAAGGTACCTCAGTTCACTGAGAAGAATTGCAGTCAGAGCCAAGTCTGACTTGAATCACTTGGGTCTTCCTCCCACATTAAACTGCCATGCCACAAATAGATGAAATACTGATCCAATTGGTTTTAAGCCCAACATAATCCCACCTTCTTGAGCAGAACACAAGAAACCTTTATTTGAAAGATATCAAAGCATTAAACCCATAAATGTCCTACCTCTAATACCTGCAAATTGTACAGATATGTCTGCTTCATTTAAAAAATATCACTGACTTACAGATTCTACCTACAAGCAAGTCCTCAGAGATGATCACATTCACATTTGAAAATGGCTGTGTGGCTACCCTGCGGACAAGCGGCACCGAACCCAAAATCAAGTACTACACTGAACACAAGCCAGACCCCACTAAAGGGTAAGTTATTGAGGGGACATGGGTGGCCCAGTGGTGTAGGGTGCCACAAGAAGGAACAACTTAGCTCTATTTTCATCATGATATCAGCAAAATAAAAGCCTTTACATTAGTTATAACTATAACAACTTGAATTGGGATATTTTGAATTCCAATTAGGGAATTTGCCCTCAGACTTTGGGCTGAATATCGTCTTTTAACCGCGCTCTAAGGTCAGTTAACAGTTTGCATACATTTGGCACAGATTTAAGCAGTATGTGCAGACTTTGGGCTTAATACCTGCCTCTGAACAGGTCTGGATAAATCCCTGCTTTAGCTATGCTCCAAGGTCAGTTTAAATATGGCTTACATTTGTCACAGATTTAATCAGTGGCTCTCCATGATGTGAACAAAATAATTTAATTCAATGTTTGTCAAATGTGATCTTGACCTTCAGAATGGACCGAGAAGAAACAGAAAAGGAGTTGAACGACATGGTCCACTGTATCGAGACTCATTTCTTGCAGCCAGAGACGTTCGGACTTATTCCACGACCTACCAGCTGAATGATGTGAGTGTCACATCCATCCAACTGTCTCCTACTACTAAACCACAGGCGCACATAGCTTCAAGCACCCGTGCAATGGCCCCAGAATACTCCCAGCTACTAGTAGCTAGCTTTTGTTACATGTAGTGTCAAACCTTTTATATGTTATACTCTTTTACTCACTCACTCAGCATGGAAGCTTTTTTGAGCTTACCTACAAGATATTTTGAGCTTGTTTGAGAATAATTTAATTAATTGTTTAGATGTTAATTCCTTATTTGGTATAAATGTAAATGAACAGGATAAGTTGGAAGGCTAATATGGATTAAGGGTATTTATCTTGTGAGAATAGTGGTACAATCCCCCTTTATAATCGAGCATGCACTGAGAGAAGTTGATCTGTGACTACAGTATCTACTTCTAGAGGGAGATTTGCGTTAGAAATTGGCACTAGTCCTGTAGTCCTTGCTAAACTTCCCAATAGTTAAGGTATCATAAAGACTAGTAACAATTTGCCATTACTAAGGGTTTTGTTATATGTTATCATTATAAGGACTAGTGGACTAAAACAGTTAGTTTCTATATGATATGGATGGATCAAATCTGAGTAGAGATGAAAAAGAAAATCATTCTCCATATATATTCAAATACCTCAATGCCAAAAAGTCCTGTGTTACCTATTTGTCCTTAACCTGTTTGTTTAGAGTCCCATGTTGATTCACATCTGCAATAATCATTACCCTTGTCTCATGCTATAGAAGCATATAATACCTAATCATGATAATGGCAACATCTTTTGTTAAAGGAGTGTGACAAGGAACCTGTGATTATATACACATGACATAATGGGAAGTTTTGGTTTTATATCTGACATGTACCAGGCAAAACATGCCTTTAACTCTGTTTGAAGCTGATCCAGACAGGTTTTAGCAACGACCTCTGACTATGGATGAAACCTCGGTTCATTACTTCCAGCCTGAGTGCAAACAAAAATCCAACCAATAGAACCATTTGACATAACCACCACAAAAGAAGGCAAAGTCTGTCCCATCATCTGGAGCTTATGGCCTCCATGTTCTGTGATGCTGAGGGGGTCATCATGATGGATTATCTTCCAAAAGGCCAGACAAAACTTCTGAGGTTGTTATTGTTACTGGTGTTTTAGTGTCATTTTGTTATGTTGACATCTCATATTTGAATTCTAAAACTGAACTTGAAGTATGGATTGATTCCCTAAAATTGGAAATTTTTGACAAAGTCGAAAGTGCTACTGAACATGTGGTGTCATAACACAAAGAGAACACACCATTGCTTAAAAATGAAGTTGCTAAACTCAAAAAGAACCACAGGAAAACACAGAGAGAACCCTAAGACACTTTATTGTCAAATCAATCAATTTTAGTGAAGACCATCTTCCCAAGGCAAGGGAGTTAACTGACTATTAAAGTTGACGACCTTGCCTTGCCTTGAAGACGGACTACAGGCTACCCAATTTGGAATACCAATGTCAACACAAACCTACAGCCCCACCAAGTAGTATTGCTACATTTATTCACATGTCCAACAGAGATGCGGTGTTTTGAGCCAAAAGGTCCTTGAAAGGTATGTCATGTGGCATTCACACAGTTGTTTCCGCCTCGTATGAGGAAGCACAGGTTGAACCTCACAGACAAGCTCACCTCGCTCTTGAAGATAAGTAACTTTGGGCTAGGGTGTGAGTGATTGGGACAGAGGTCATCTTGGAAAGAAGGGATCCGCTATTCCTCATCAACATGGAAAAATATGACTTATCTGGTAGCCATTTTTATTGATGTGGACGTGTTTATATTCATAAGCCACTGTATCATGCTTTCCAACAACTGTAACTGGACATCGTAACACACCAAAGACATTTTGTATTATCACCTATCTTTCCGTGCCAAAAACTTTTTCCTGCCGAAAGCATCTTCCATCTTCCCAAGGCATGAGAGTTAACTGACTATAAAAGTCCAGTTTCCACCCTTGCTGAACTAGGCTGGAATTCCTGGGCTTGATCGTAGCGCCACCAGTGGTTATTATGAGTTATGTCCCTTCTGAGCCTATCCTATGGACCAATCCGATTCAATTACTTCCATTTGTTTCAAACAAAATGGCGCCGCCCAGACAAGACGATCTGATTGATAATCAAGATCTTTCATATGATAAAACGGGTCTAACATCGCGAAGTGCATCAAATCACGCGAGCACCTTGATGAAAAACATGAAAAGGTTTGGAAAATATCTGTTGACAACGAGTTGGCGGTGCACATACTTTGCAAATCTTTTAAAGTCAGTTAACTCTCTCTGGCCTCGGGAAGATGGCATCTTCATGCCAAATGGTGTTTGTCGGAAGAACTATAATGTGATACTCATTTTTACTACTTTTTTATTCTGCAAGCAAATATTTTGCTTCAAACATTACCATGATTACAGTCTCACTGTGTCTAAATATACCTTAATCATACCTTACTTATCAGTGGGGAAACATCATGTATTTAATCTCAGTGCATGTGATTTTCATGCAATCCACACATTTTTATTGTTTGGAATAGGGGTGAGGGCAGCTGGTGTTTCATTATCCAAACAGGCTGTTAGTAATAAAACGTGAGTTACCGATTGTTAAATGTTATTTTAATTATTCACAATGTCAAGATCAAAGGACGTTTCACACATTCACCAATGCTGTTATTTTAGTAGGAATAACAGAAACAGCAGAAACAGTATATGTATAACGGCTAAGAATTACAAGATAGATAATCGCGGCAAACAAATCAGCCAATGAAAACAGTTGACACCGCTTTGCTGGTCACTTTAGAGCACACACCCAAATAGATTTGTTTTGGAAGCTGATTGCAGAGTTGAGTTCTCTTTCTCTTCGACATTTAAATACCTTCTTTGAATATTGTTAATTTTCTCTCTCAGAAATTGACTAAATGTATTTTGTAAAATTGATGTTTGCAACAAAAGAGACACATAAGACATTCTTTGTATTTCCCAGTCTCATTAATCTGGATTGTTAGATGTTTGTTTCTTCAGTTGTTTTATGTTCGTTTTATTACTGAATTTATGATGTTGCTGCGGACTACAGTACAGGACTGTTTTAGGGACCCACCCTTTATAACATTCTGGAGGGCCCAGGGAGTTTTGATCAGTCACTAACCACCAGAAGATGTTACCATGGTTACCATGCAAACAGAATGTGACTCTGTTAATCATATATGCTTGTTTTACTTCAGTTGTTTATTTGTTTGTTTTATTTGTTGAATAATGATGTTGCTGTTGACAACAGGACTGTTTTGAGGACCCACCCTTTATCACATTCTGTTGGGGCCAGGGACGTTTGTTCAGCCACTGGCAGCCACTGGCTTCAAAACATGCTATTTATTGTTGTAGAGCCGAAACCGTTTTTTTTAAATCACATTGACACAATTTATTTTTAGGGGTAAAATGTTTTGAATTTTTTTTCTGAAAAAAATAGTTAGCATATTTTTAAATCCCATGTCCCACAAGAATATCAACTGGTTGTCCCCAGGGGGCGCTGGTGGCCCAGTCGACTAAGGCACAGCGATTCGCTGTGCAGAGTTGCGTCCCCTTGGGCACGACAGAAACCAATGATTGTGAGTTTGAATCCTGGTTCGCCCCGATTATGTTTCTAGGTTTGTTAGCACCAACCTGTGCTCGTGGGTTTCACTGAAGTGCTACATGTCTGAGACCTGCATCACTTCGGGTTTTCCTCCCACATTAAGCTGACACACCCTGATATAACTGGAATAATGTTAAAAGCGGTGTTAAACCCAACTCACTCACTGGTTGTCCCCTCAGCACATTATGCTGGTCAGCCATGTTTTATCACCATTGCTGAAACATTTTTTATGTTAGTGTTTTAGCTGAATCTTGCTTAATATATTTTTCTTTTATTAGCTTAATGATGTTAGTGAGTGAGTGAGTGAGTATGGTGTTACGCCGCTTTTAGAAATATTCCAGCAATATCACGGCGGGGGACACCAGAAATGGGCTTCACACATTGTACCCATGTCTGAAATCGAACCCGGGTCTTCGGCGTGACGAGCAAACTAATGATGTTAGCATATTCGGTCGAACAGATGATAAATCAAAGTCATTCCTCAGCCACTTTAAAACCTTCTTCAAACATTGCCATTTGTGAAAAAACATTCACGAGCATGATGAATGCTCATATTATTTTCATAGATTGTACAATATCTTCCAGTGTCCCCGACATCTGACCATCTTTGTGTATCCAGGGTATTATATATATCTCCATTTTGTTGTGATTAATATCCTGGACCCATTCACCACTATAGCTTCATTTCAGGCACAGGAACTTGATGATATATCATGAATATCATAATATATCCATGTAAAAGAAAAATTACCTGTGTTTTCAGGTGGTTTATGTAACACGCTTGAGTTCTCTTATCACCACAACTCTTTCACCTGAATGTTTCACCTCGATTTCTTGCCTCTTATGACTTGATATATTTAACAGACTGTTTTTTTGTAACTTTTATCTGGAAAATATGTTGTCAAGAGCAGTAAAAGATTATATATCGTAATGGAATGGAGATATGATACACTGAATAATCAAGGATGACATGACTTGCATCAATTTATCTCCACACTATGATTGCTTCATTGCCACTTGTTTGGTTATGGGGAGTTTTTGTTTGTGTTTGATGTTTTTTGTCAAATGTTTTTAAAAGGTAAAGCAGGAGTAATATTTTGATATTTATGTAATTAGCATGTTTAACTTGCTTTCGTTTCATTTAGTTAAATTATTTCCACTTTTATTGAAAATGCGAAATTGATAATTTATCAAAATTTATCATAATCTAGTAACTATGGGTTTAACTGGTATATATATATTCTTTTGAAATAAATGTTATAAGCACCAGCAAGTATTAAACAATGTTATCTAGTTACTAGACTTGCAATGGTTAGTGACACCATGTAAAACTGCTAGAAAAAAACCATTGTTATGGTGTTTTTTTTCCATTTATTTATTGGTTGTTATTTACTTGTTGGCTATGCAAAATAAATAGTTTAAAAAACATCAATGTCTGTTTTGTTTAACTGACATATATTTGCAATATCAAGATGAAAGTGAGTGAACAGGTCTCTGCTACATGGAGCAACGTTGGCAAGGGAGTGACAATTGCTTTTTGAAACTACAAAGGGGCAACGCAACCTCAAAGGAGCCGCTTACATTTAACCCAGAGTGGGAATAAAACCTGGGCCTTCAGCATGGCTATCAACGTTTTAACTACTAGGTCACTCACTGACCTACCAAGAATAAGTTTTAAACATTGTGTCTGTGTAATAGCTAGTAACCATTAACGATATACTCTACTTATATGTGCTGTATTCGGTGTAATAAAAGCCCAGGTGCTTAGAAAATTGACAAAGGGAGGCAGTTATTAAAATCATACAAACAACTGCATTGTAACTTCGCTTTGTGTGACAACAGCACTGTATGACATCATTGTGGTCAGAGATCAAGTGGTAGTGAACGAAGTTAGTTCAAACATGGATGAAACTAAAACTTATTCAATAATAGTCAGGCAATACTATTTTTCCCTTTCTGTTCTGCTGTCATCTGTAAACAAATCTGCAATATACACAAGAAAATATGGACTGTCATGGAAACTTTCAGTCTTAGTAGGGGGAGCTTATAAAGATTACTTATAGATTGGTCAAGAAGTTGGTCGGTGGAATAGAAGAGTTTATTGGTGCAAGGTGCTTAATATGGCTTATACGGTACTTGTGTTCACTGCAACTCGGGACAGTCGTTTTACTAGAATCCTTTTGCGATATATTTCCAAAATTGTAAGATTCAAGTCATCATTGTATGATAATAATGAACCAACTGGGAACGCATTATAACCGGTATGACAGTAGATGTAATGACCGCCAACGATCTTGAAGGACGATGCGGGTAAGATCTAGATAACTTCCTACTTCTCACTTCCGAAATTATTTGTTTTAGAAGGAAACTTGAAAGTTCAATACCGCATCCAACTTTTTACTTCATACACCGTTTTGGAAAGATGGAAAGCTCGAAAGTTCCACGTCGCGTCTCGATGACTTCCCACTTCCTTAAAAATGTTTCAGGGAACAGAAACCTTAAAAGCTTGAATTTGCTGCTAACTTTATACTTTCTATTTATGGTTTGGGAAGCTAACGTTACGATGGCCATTTTACGTTAATGAACTACCTTCTGTTGAAAAATGAGATTGGTTGGTTTGTTGTTTAACGCCGCACTCAGCAATATTCCAGCTATATGACGGCGGTCTGTAAATAATCGAGTCTGGACCAGACAATCCAGTGATTAATATCATGAGCATCGATCCACGCAATGAGGATCGATGACATGCATCAACCAAGTCAGCGAGCCTGACCACCCGATCCCGTTAGTCACCTCCTACGACAAGCATTGTCGCTCTTTACGGCAAGCATGGGTTGCTGAAGACCTATTCTACACCGGATTTTTACGGGTCTCCGAAAAATGAGAGAGATGAGATATTGAAAGTGCCATCCCATGCCCTTGTACCAAGAGCGTACACGGGCAGACCCCCTTGACATCTATTGCATTGCCACGGTGGAGACCATGGTGGTGGTGGTGGTGATGCTTCTTTCCACCCGGGCAAAGGTTGTGCCACTCTGGCGATCTCTGGATCCCAGTTTTCACACTTGATGTTGTTGCTGGTGTTGTTGCTGTTGCTGTTGCT